TGTAGGTCAACTACAATTTAGCTTTAAGTTGGTAACTAATTATAGTCCATATTGGCTAGTATATTGGCAAATGGCCATTTTATTTTGTTAGTAGCATTGTATCATTTATTTCGTTTATTATATATATGTGTCTACTCTCCTCAAACCACCAATTACTTATTTTACATCAAGTTTAACAAGTTGATCAAATAAAAGATCAGTTCGAAACTAATGGAAGACCCTATCTACAAAATTAAATAGTTAAAAAAAAAAACCCCTACAAATCAAACCAAGAGAAAACTAGAAGATTTGTCTGAATCATTTTGCTTTATGTTTCTTCTACCTTTGCATTAAAATAAATATATATTTACATACACTCCATATTTCAAAGTAAATCATATTGTTTGGACACACATTGTTCCCCAGCTGCAACTTTTTCCTCATGGTGGCCCTTGTAATTATTATTATCATCTTCTTCACACCCTCATATAAACTTCTCCATTACAATTATTATGCTTTAATACCTCTCTCTATATATATACCAATTCTCTTAAATTATAAAATCATTTACTTTACCAAACTACCAAAATAATATAAACCTACAAAATCAAGATCTTCATTTTCTTCATTGCATCAAATATGGTTAGAGTTATAAGTCCCCTAGTGACTATAGCACTAATGTGCTATTTGCTGTTGATATCATCAACTTATGTTCCGGTGGGAGCGTACGTGATACTAAGCGATGTAGGAGAAGGTGTTCCGGCCACCGGATTACCAAGCGAAGATCATCAGAAGATTGTCATGGGAAAATTACCTAGGAGGCTATTGCAAGATGGTCAAGATTATGATTATTATGATTTCTACAGGAAGCATGAAGATATACCAAGTCCTGGTATTGGTCACTAAGTGAATAATTTAGTTTAATATATATATACTTTTCTTTATATTTAGCAAAGCATATGGTTTTCTTAAGAGAATATTTATACAGTTCCAATATATTTGTTGATCTCGCACATTTTTTTTTTTGTTGTTGTTGTTTAAATTTGTTGTTACGTTGTATCGAGGACTACGTAATAATTTCAAAGTTATAATAATGTGTAATTATTTTTGTATATGGATGGCTTTTGTATAAGTTGCTTAATAAATTTTTTTGGAGCAAATTAATTGTATAGATCGAGTTATAAACCATTTTATTGTTAGAACGAAAACATTATTTTGCAAGTATCTTCAATTATATAAGCTCAAATTAGTTTGTTGAATTATTCCGGCCAGCATAATAATTTTAGAGTTATAATGTGTTACTTGTATTATTGTTGTGCATGATTTGCATTCATATATAAGTTGTTAAGTTAGATGGATGTTTTGTGTAAATGAATGAATACCTTAAAAAGCCAAAGAAAGTAACTTGTACTTTTATTAATTTTTATGTGATATATTTGGCTAATATTTTTTTTTTAATCATTAGGAATACTTTTAATTATACAAACAAATTTAATTATCCAACAAAAATATATCATAGCAGGTAAGCAACAGACTAATAAAATTTTCAAAATTGTACCTAAAGAATAACTATTTGAATGAAAGTTTTAAACTTGGCAATATTCTTTAGTTAGAAATTCTATGTTAAATGTCAATTAATACACTTTTGTTCATGAAAAATATTGAATATATTTGTATCAGACCACTTATAATTGGTTATGTACTAGGGTGCTTGTTTGGTTGGATGATATTTTCCTTGGAAATGGAAATTCCTAGGCAATAGTTAAACTTTGCCGTGTTTGTTTAGAAATTTCCTAGGAAATAAAAATTTCAAGGGAAATGTAAATTTCCACATAGCATGGGAAATAACTCACCAAGCCCCCTCTAGGTGAGTGAATTCCTACAATACATAAGAAGTTATTTCCTAAGAAATACTAATTCTCGTAATGTCAACTTAACATTTTTGTTAAATTTTTATGCAATTAGCAAGGGAAATAACTTCCCATAATTTATGATTTCACGTGAAAATTTATTTCCCATGTTAAACCAAACAAACATAAATTTTCAACTTCGTGGATAAATAATACAAGAGTTTGATAAGCCGAATAAGATAAAAACGTCATTTCCATCCTATTATCAAGTGTACTTTTAAGCTCTCTCACATTTCTCCCACATTTGGGATAAATAAATAAGTTTCATAACACATGGAGAGGACATGAAACTTTGAAAGGATCGAAATTTACGCAAGCTTCATATAGAAAGGAGGAAAACGCAAAAGAGGGGTTAGGTACATGTTAAGTTTAAATGAATTACAGTTTTTAAAGATAAGTTCTCTTTTCGTTACGTGGCACAAGTTGGGACAAAAGACCCACATTTGACTATTGATCATTAACTAACTATTACAAAAAGAAAGGTTTTGACAACAATTAAAAGTCTAACCTACAAATGTAGTGTTTGGTGAAGAACTTTTTCACCCCAAAAATATAATACAGTAGAAATATGTGTGTGTCACTTTGTGTAAATAAACTTTTTAATGAAATCATTTATCATCTTAAGATTACTCCATATTTATTAAAAATCTTACTTAAGTTATTAATACAGGGTACCATAAGCACTTAAGTGGTTACTCCTTAACCATTTTCATGAAATTCTAGTAATTAACTACTCCGTAATACGTTTATGATTTTCCTAATATACATACATACCCTTGTCTAACATTATAAAGCTAAGTTAAGAAATTTTTTCAAATTTTCGGTGTTGAGAGAAACAAAAGTGGATAGGTGAAAATTGGATCGAAAGAGCGATTCTCCAATCCCTTTATCCTTACATTAAGTTGTTATAGTAACTTTAATCAACTTAGAGGAACGATGTAACATAATGAGTAGTATACTATATCTATACGTAGTACAAACATCATCTTAGAGGTATAGAATTTAGAAAGATAGACTAGTATATTTTAATCATAATACATAATTGATAATTGTAGCTTTATTAACGTGTTTAGATCGAGATATTATAAGATAGAGATCTATCATACGTAATTAATTAGTACTCTAATATATATCTCTAAGCGAACAAAGTCATATGGTTTGGGCTATTTAATTTTGTTATGTTTGTGCCTTTAAAATATCAGACCTGTTATATTATTGCAAAATAGGAAGTTTTTAATCAACTAAACTTATTCTTGCTCAACTTAACTTGTTTAAACTGAATTGAAATTGATTTTCATTGAACTTAAATTATTTAATTGAAATTTATTTGGATAAGGTGAAGAGAACGGGGTCTTAATGCACATAATTTCCTAACATCAACATTACACGAGATGTATTATCATAAATAAAGACATGCATAATTCAAGCTTATTCAAGTACAATTAATTTAACATCACAATTAGGTTTGATTGTTTGAAGAATGCATTTGACTTTCACTTGATTCAATGGAATATTTTACTTACTTTTTGAGATTTTTTATTTACTTTTGAGTTATTTTTAGCTTAGTTAAAGCAATTTTGATGGATGTTCATATAGAGTCAAAAGATTGTGAGATAATCTTTGAATTGGATTGTATTATTGCGTTAAAACTTACCATAAAATGATGTATGGACTCTGATAAACCAAAATTGTCACTCATTCTATATCCTTAACTCATTAATCTTTTTTCACCTTTCCAAAATATGTACACATTTTTCGCTTGGATATTTTCTCTTTTTTAACCACTATTCTTTATTCATATATGATCGAATTGAAATACAAACACAAATTAATTAAATTTTATTTTCTTAATAATTAGTGTACTTATATGTGACTAGTCACAAGTTAAACCTTGAATATTAAACATCTCGTACATACCCTTTTTTTTTACCCTCCCCCCCCCCCTCTTCATATTTCATTGCAATTGTTTTATATGTAACTAATTACAAACTTTAAAAAGTTGTTGACTTGCTAATTGCATCTTCTATTATATTAGCAAAATAGCAGTATTGGTTATGTATACCTTTATCTACTCTTAAGGGCATTTCCTAATTCCTATACATATATAGTAGCCAACTAGCCATGCATGCATTAATTTTCTTTTTAACTAATTAAATTAAAAAAAAAAAATTCACTAATTAAATAAACAAAATCCACTTATCTTTTGCTCATTGCTTCCAAGAAGCATCATCTCATGCAAGGCCATTTGCCAAAAAAATCTCGACTTTAATCTTTACACATAAGAAGTTTTGCTTTTGCCAAATTTTGCTTAAGTTTGTAAAGTTCTAACCTTAATTGTTATTTTATGAGCATTTGTGGCCATACCTAAAAAAGTTGCTCGTACCATATTCTTTGTTGCATACGTAGTACATAGTACTTCTATTAATAATTGTCTTCTTTTAGCTTATAAACGTACAATAATATAATGAAGTTTCATATATAAATGAAAAACTAAGTTTATTTATAAACCCTTTTTTGGCTCTCATGCTCATTATGTATTTATTAATCTATAAGAAAAGTTAGAACTATATATAATATACATTTAGTATACCAATATTAGTATGTAGAAGTGTAGAACTCACAAAATTGATTTGACTAATACCCGATCAGTACTCGAAAGGCCAAAAATAGATGACTTGCACGATTATGACACTACAAGAAAACAGCTGGCGACGGAAAAATTCCGTCAGAAACATAGGAAAATCCGTCGGAATAGACCTAAACAAAAATTGACAAACCTGTAAAAATATATTTATTTGTTTTTTCTGTAGTACACTTATTGACAATACATGTTAAATTTATATATATGACTCAACTCTATTCTTAATTATTATTAAATCCAAATCAAATTAAATGACACATCACTCGAACTAATCAAAACCGAAATGACTCAAACTCAACCGAACTAACTCTTTGTAGAAATTAAAAGCTATTTATTATACTCAAAATATATGTGAATAAAAATGACATGTGCAAAGTAAAGCATGCATTGAGCCCTTCAACAATGAACTTTGAAATTTCTTAGTAGCTAAGGATTCTTCTGTTTTCGAATATTTATAAGTGCTGTATCAGCTTTTGGAAGGAAGCTAAGATCAGCTGAATTTTTATTTTTTTCTGTTTCAACTTTTACCACTTTACTACCTCTTTAACATTTTATATCTCTAAAATGCACATGGCCGGTGAAACTATGCACAACTGTATAATGCATGCATGAACCAGCTAATACTAAAGTTAACAATGCAAAATAAAGGTACGTACATTAGTACACCAAATTGTAAGCACTATCTTAATCCAATTTACGCCTACTTTTTTTTTTTCTTCCTCTTTTCATGCATCTATATAAACTAAGTTCATTTGCATATCACATTTCCATAATTTCAATCCAAAGTTCATCCAAAACACGTACAATACAAATTAAACCTATCAAGCCACAAACACGTACAAACAAAATAATTCTAGTTACCACGTACCTTGAATATATTGTTGTAACATTGATTTAGAGAGAAACAAAAATAAAGATGAAGAACAAAGCTTCCGTTTTTGTGAAGAATATAATTTCGACTTTGAGTTCTATCGTGAAGGGTAAGGTAACGGGGGTGAAGGGCAAAGCGAATGCTATGAAAGTTCGTCTTTTGGTTTTCTCACTAATGAAGGGCAAGAAAATATCACTTGGTACGCTTACTACCAAGATCCAAGCTTTGATAGATCGAAAGCGTGGCAAGATAATGGCCGAGGAAGAAATAAGTTTAGAGGATCAAAACCAGGCAATCATCCTCTACAATGCAAATTTAGCTAATGAATCTAGTGATCTCATTAACTACACGGCTAATGATGATAATCTTGCGCCATCAGAAAAGAGGGAGTTGTTGTTAGAATATTATGGTCGTGATCAATATTACGACGATGACAAGTATCCGGATCTTACTCATTCTTTGTTTGATGAGGAGGAAGAACATGGAGGATCGATCATCGATATGGTGAAAAACTCGAAAGAGAATGAAGGGCAAGATTTCAAGTTAGAAGATGAGATAGATCATGTTGCGGATTTGTTTATCCAAAGGTTTCGTAGACAAATGCTCCTACAAAAATGGGATTCTTTCAAGAAAATTCAAGAGATGTTAGGGAGAAGTGCATAATTAAGATCGAGTTATTTTTTATTTAGTTTAATTTTGTGGTTGCACTGCATGCATAGAGAGACTAAAATAAGCTAGTATGTATCAATAATTCATGCATGGTTAATTAAGAATTCTAGCTAATTATATTATATATGATCGAAGCTTTGATGTAATATTATTATATACTTTAATTTAATTTTCATAGCGGTTTTTTGTTTAATGTATGGAAGGAGTTGGGCGAGATAGATCGAGTTGATTAGCCAAATTAGATTGTAATTACTCTGATCTCTTCATCGGATTTGACCAACTACTTGCAAAAAGATAATTACGTATAATATTTGTGTATTTTTTCCCTAGAATTATGGGTACTTTAAAATATTTTTCCGTTTAAGCTTGCCAGTTAATTTTTAAACTCATTTTTTTGTTAGAAATGAAATCATTGTAACAATAGGTGATAATGATTGGGTTTTTTTTTTATTTTTTGTGTTCCTCCCTGTTCACCCTTTGGGCTAATCTGTGTTCAGGGCTTAGGATTCGGGGATAATAATGAGTGGATTATTGTAACACCCTCAAATCTTCCTCTACGAAAATATTAGAATAATACATATAAAATACCGTAGAGATGGACTTGGGCGTATTACCGCCACGTGAAAACGTAAGGCTAACTCAAATGATGATTAGGTGGAGTAACATTAGTATTAACCGGAACTTCCTGAGTCTTCTTAACAACCCACACTTTCTTAGGTTGTTTAGAGCTTGCATTCTTGTACACCGGAGCACAATCATCACATGAATGTCCAACCAGTTGACATTTCTGACAAGGAATCCAATCGTACCAAACTTCTTGCTTAAACACATTTCCCTTCCTATTTTCAATCCATATGACTTCAGGCAGGAGCACAGTAACATCCATTTCCACTTATAATCTAGCAAATGAAATTCTAGCTTGAGAGGCGGATTAGGAAGCTTAACCCAAATGGGAATCACCTTAAGAATTTCCTCATAGAAATCAAAACCGACAGACCAACATAGGCTGACCAAAGTGAGGACCGGAGTACACAATCTCATTCTTATCTTCAATTGAGAAAAATTGGATAACAAATTATTGTAACACCCGCTAATCTCCCTCTACGAAAATATTAGAATAAGACGTATAAAATACCGTAGAGATAGACTTGGGCGTATTACCGCCACGTGAAAACGTAAGGCTAACTCAAACCAATTAACTAACTTAGCAGCGGAAATCAAAACTAACTTTATATTATTAAACACTTTACCAAAGTTGGTGAGTACAAACTCATTATGAAACTTCAAAAGAAACCCTAAACTAGGTGAGCAATCCCGAACTCTCGATACACGATGCAGCACATAGACTCCACCTGAAAATCTCGATTGCTTATCAAAATTAGTAAAAAGGGCGAACCAAAACAAATAAGAATACGTTTTAGAAAACGCTAACACATATACATGCAAGACATGTCAAATTCTATTAGGCAAACATGCTTTCGAAATAGTTTTGCAAACATGCTTCTGAAATAGTTACACTATAATTCAAACGCTAAAATATGACTTTTCCAAAATTCATTACTTTCCAAAATTAGACTTTCCAAATATAGGCTTCCAATAAAGAAATATTTAAAGATAGAACTTTCCAAAAATCAATTCTTCTCCTAAGTGTGCAAATTAAAGCAGGTAAGACTATACTCGAGGAAAGACCAAATCATTCAAAGTTCATGGTCTTACTTAACCAGTCCCGGGTAAAGGGACAATAAATATTAAATACTCAAGCCCATAATGAGCTGCATATTTAATTCAATCCCCTTAATCATAAATAAATTCAATTCAATTCAAACATGATTTCAAGATCAATCCTTTAAATAATTTATTCAAATATTCAAACAAATAATGATTCAAACATATACATATATAGAAAAACTTTTATCAAAGGTCTAGCCATCTATACGTACCTCATCCTTCAAGAATTATTATCCCACCAATTACAATCACAAACGATCATAACTCAATTACAATTAAAGGAATAGGATTAAGAGATTGAATTCGCGTTAGAAAGAATAGGCAGAACTTGCAAAGGCCATAACTCCTAGAATATAACTCCGAATTGGGTGAATTTTGTAACTAACCTCAAGGATTTTTCAAGAGGAATAACTTTTTATGAAATAGTAAAAATCTAAAAATGAGAAGAAGTGCCCGAAAACTGGCTTTAAATGCATACGGGTTGATTTTTCTACGAAAAAGGTTAAGAAAAGTAAGGAAAGGTTTAGGGAAAGTAAATTATGATAGAAGAAGAGAATAGAGTTCTGGTGTGAAGAAAAATGAGAGGTGAGGAGGGGTATTTATAGTGTTTAGGGAGTATGGTATTAGAGTTTTATAAATAGCAAAAGATAGAATTTAGAGTGTGAAAAGAAATAAGATTATCAATGATATATATATATATATATATATATATATATATATATATATATATATATAATAGTTTATCATTTAATAATTTAAAGTGTGAAAAGAAATAGGATTTACATTAGTATTTAATTTAGAAAATTAATTAGGAAAAGATACAAGAGTTTATCATTTAATAAATTAGATAAAATAACAACTAAAAATCTGGATAAATACATCAAATATTTGGCATCCATAACCTAATAATTATCGTATATTCTTTTTTTTATAATGATAAAATCGAAAATCATAATTAATTCAGACGTTCAATAACTAATTAATTAAAAATCCGAAAATAACTTTATAAAATCTGAAAATTTAGGATAAATATGATATCATTTAATAATTATCATGAACAAGAATTTGAAGCTAGATAAGTTTTATAAACCGGAAATGATTATTTGACTTGCACGGTAAAAATATTGTAAAAAGTTCAAGATATTTCAAAAAATTTAATTAAATATTTATTTCAAAAGCTAAAATCACTTTGAAAATCAGAAAATTAATTTTCATAATTAATCATTACTTTTCGGAATTTTTAAGATAATAATTAACAATTATATTTAATTAATCTATAAATCCAAAATTAATAAATAAAATCTGAAAATAAAAATTCATAAAACACTAAACTAAATTACGTAGTTTAGTTAAATAAATTTTGGAATATTATTATGTGATTAATTATAAAATTAGACATTAAAATCAAATATAACTAAATAAGACTTTAAAATCTAAAAGTGATAAAATATTTATATCTACTCCCATATTTTGGCGCCTAAATTTGAAAGCTTTACTTGGCTCTTATATTCAAATAATATAACATTACTAAAATTCCCTTTCTAATTAAAATAATTAAGAAGATAATATTCAAAATTGTGGGGTATTACAATTATAGTTTATCTAAGCCTAATGTACGGACAAATAATAATACCATAAGTAGTGCACTAGTGCACAATGTATAATTCGTAATGATGCACGATGTATAATTCGTAGTATAGCACAATTGGCCAATACGGGTAAAATCCACAAGAATGTACGAAGTATAAATTTATCTTATTATATAGTTGATCTTGTGTTGAATGCTCACTCTTTACTTTGCTTGGAGGAGAAAGGAGGAATTGAGTTGGAGTAATTCTTTGATTGGGGTGTTTGTTGCACTTTAAAGAATTAAAGTTTAAACATGTATAGTATGTATACCAACTACTTGAAAGAGGAGTTTTAACATATTTGGATATAGCCTAACTAAGCTTTAAAAGTTCCATATTTGCAAAAAAATAAAATATATATAGAATAAACATATTTGGGCTTGGCTGCTTCAGTTACTTCATAACAATTTTGGACTTGAAACATTAATACTCTGTATCTATTTTACTGTTGTTAAAATGTAATAAAAATGCACGTCATAATCTTGTCATGTGTCTCTATGTTCAATAATATAGATCCTTTTTTATTTTTTTTGATGAAACAAACAATACAAGTATAATACTACTTCTCTATAACTCTAACCATCACTTCAATAACAAACCTTTGTAAAATATATCCTTTTTTAAATAACTATGTTCGAATAAAATGATTAAAGAAGACAAGTAAAATGAGACCGGGGGAGTATTTATAGAGTGGAGTTTGTTTGTCCAAAGAATGTTGCCGGCCAGAAGGTAAAAGCTTACGTGGTAGACAAGTACTGGCTCGGAAAATCTTGAAAGTAAGCCTTCAAATTCCAAGACGACGGCCCACACCCAAGTAACGCGTACGTGGGCCGCAAGCCTTATACAGCTGGCTTTGCTTCCTACAAAAAAGTCAAGGGCTTCTCTCAACGTGCATGATGTCCACCTTGACTTCCTCAACATTCCTTTCCTACTCGCTTCATCTCTGGCCAATTCTCCGTGAACCGCACGCGCTATCTCGGACAAACTTTGTAACAATGCATGAATGTGCAAGTTAATGCAAGAAGGCAACCTAATTGGTACAGTATATGTTTGAGAATTTATGACAAAAACACGTGTAATTAAATGTTAAGTATAAATTTACAATTATAACTTGCATATTTTTAAGAAGACTTGAAACTAATGTAATCGTAGTAGGTAATTATAAATGTACTTAGCCTTTAGGGCTACAAATTATTTTCATTACTAATAGAGTATAAAAACATATTCCTAAACTGATGGTTAAGGCCCATGAATATGTTTTTATACTCTATTAATTACCTTTACAAACTTGGTGATACTCGGTAATAATTTAATACATAACACAATCACGTCTCACTTGGTGTAGCTAATGTTTTACGGAGTATTTTATTTTGTTATTCTCACTTTTAATTTCTTTATACATGTAGCCATTAAGTTGTACTGCATGTATCATTTTCCAAAATTTAAAGACCTTTGTTTCATAAGAGATGTCAACTCCGTATACATAGATTTGCCGTAATGAACCATTGTTATTTTCGAATTGGTACTATATTTTTGAATTTGTAGGCTCATAAATTGTCACTTGTATAGTTGTATACTTGTATATATGTAGGAGATGTGGTATGATAATTGTTTGGTACGATGACTACATACATGATGCATCTCATGCATTAGTCCTTAAATAAGCCGCAGTCAAAGATGATATAAGAATGATAATCACCTTTTGATAATTAATTAAAATATAATTGACCTATGTTATAATTCAGTTAAGAGGTCCAACCTACCGGCAAAAATAATGGCACTTTCTTATCACACTTAAACAAAAGGATCTAAACGACTACTACCCTTCTTCTCATTCTAATTCAATCACATACTATTTTCATTAATTATTTAAGGACCCACTCTTTTGTATATCCACCATACTGTATCTTTAGAGGCTCACAGCAGCCATAAGAAACATCTAAGAAAAGCATATATTTTAAAATAATTGAGATTTTGTGGTACCATAAAATTGAGAGAAAGTTCTAGTAAATATTACGAGAGAAAGGGAGTGTGTTACAACATATACATCACTTTTTCCCTTTCTATTTTTTGTTGGTGACTTGATCCATTCAAAACTACCTTTATTTTCTGATTATAAGGCCCATCATTTTACTTTCTATAAGAATAAATCCATTAGCTAATAAAGTTTTTTATGCGGCCAATTTTAATTTTAAACATCATATAGTCGTCATATAGGAACGTGCTTCTTAGCTTCTATTTATTAAGATTGTCTCGTTTGATGACCATTTTAAAAAAAATTATAAAAGATTTTTAGGTTAAATTATACGAAATTTTATGAAAGATTTTTGGGTTAAATGGGGTAATTTTAATGGAAAAAGTAAAATAATGATAATTTTTTCCTTAACTTATGAGGTGA